CCCCCCCCCCCCCCCCCCAAAAAAACTATAATCATCAATGACTTGAATAGTCATTTAAATGTATCAGTAAGTGTAAAAACCTTCTGAAATTATGTAATTTAATTGTTTTAATTATCTGATTTATTTAATTTAATTATTTTAATATTAAATAAATTGTATTCAATTATAATTTAACATTTAATATTAAAATATTCATTAAATTATAATTAATTTTAATCAAATTAAAACAAGACTTCTGCAGTCAGCGCAGGAAAGACATGTTTCCATCTAATGCTTTACTCGTCTGTATAAGATCATCTCTTTGAATTAGCTTCATTTGGGAGCTTTTCATTTGATTAATGAATTATCATATCATATATTTAAAATTCAGTATTTTCTGGTTCCCAGCAGTTTGACGGCCAGAAGTACGGAGTCTGTGATCAACAGGAACACAGCAGTCAATGACGGATCAATGTTTATTTCAGATCTCACACAGACACACATATGAATTACATTCACTACACAGGAAAACGATGTGGCCAAATGAACATCACAGACACATGATGAATGTTTCATTTCAGAATCCTCTAGAATCTCACTGTGTGTAGAATTATGATTTGACCTCAAACCTACTCATTAAGGCTGACCATACAGTGAATATCAATAACATCATGAAAACAAAGAATAAAATCATGAATATGTGTCTGAATATTAATGACACCATGAATATTAATATGTATCAGAATATGAACAGTGAAATCCTGAATATGAATACTAAAATCAGGAATATGAATGTGAATATCATGAATTTGAATATGTATTAGAACATGATTTACTTTTTGAATATGTATTGGAATATGATTGACAGCATGAATAGAAATATGTAACATCAGAATACCTATAGTGTATATTCAGAATCAGAATCAGAATGAGCTTTATTGCCAGGTATGTTTACACATACGAGGAATTTGTTTTCGTGACAGAAGCTTCCACAGTGCAACAGAATGACAGTGACAGAACAAAAAAACACAGATAATAAAAAATAAAAATAAAAAATAAATAAAAAATAGAACAAGTAAAATAAGGAATAAAAAATATACAAATCGACAATTGTATGTACAGGTATATAACAATAGACAGTTTAATGTGTAAAACATGAATGAATCCATAAATATCAATAATGAAATCACGAATATGAATATGTATGCAAATATGAATCATATGAAAAATTAAATCATGAATTTGTATTAAAAATGAACAAAACCATGAATATGTATAAGAATATGAATGAAATCATAAATATGAATAATTAAATGAAGAATATGTATCTGAATATGAATGAATATCAGAAAATGAATGGCATGTATATAAATATGCATCAGAATATGAATGACTTTATGAATATGAAAGAATCATATGAATAAGTGACTATTAGAATTTGAATGAAATCATGAAAATAAATAATAAAATTGTGAATATGTATCTTAATATAAATGAAATTATGAATATGAATCAGAATATGAATGACATTGTGAATCTGAATCAGAATATGAATAACATCATAAATCTGAATATGAATCAGATTATGAATGACGTCATAAATCTGAATATGAATCAGAATATGAATGAAATCATGAATATGAATCAGAATATGAATGATGTCGTAAATCTGAACATGAATCAGAATATGAATGACATCATGAATATGAATATGAATCAGAAAATGAATGACATCATGAATATGAATCAGAATATGAATGATGTCGTAAATCTGAATACGAATCAGAATATGAATGACGTCATGAATATGAATCAGAATATGAATGAAATCATAAATCTGAATATGAATCAGAATATGAATGACGTCATAAATCTGAATATGAATCAGAATATGAATAACGTCATAAATCTGAATACGAATCAGAATATGAATGATGTCATGAATATGAATCAGAATATGAATGAAGTCATAAATCTGAATATGATTCAGAATATGAATGACGTCATGAATCTGAATATGAATCACAATATAAATGACATTGTGTATATGAATATGAATCAGAATTTGAATGACATCATGAATATGAATCAGAATATGAATGATGTCATAAATCTGAATACGAATCAGAATATGAATGGCATAAATCTGAATATGAATCAGAATTTGATGACATCATGAATATGAATCAGAATATGATGTCATAAATCTGAATACGAATCAGAATATGAATGGCATCATAAATCTGAATATGAATCAGAATATGAATGACGTCATATCTGAATATGAATCAGAATATGAATGACATCATGAATCAGAATATGAATCAGAATATGAATGATGTTATGAATATGAATCAGAATATGAATGAAGTCATAAATCTGAATGTGATTCAGAATATGAATGACGTCATGAATCTGAACATGAATCACAATATAAATGACATTGTGAATATGCATCAGACTAAAACATGAATATGAATCAGAATATGAACGATCATGTTTCATCATGTTGACACACTTCAGACGGTCAGGAGTTTCTCAGCCAATCAGAATCTCAGAGCGTCTCACCTGAAAGCGGTAGAAGGTTCCGTCGTCCTTCAGCATCAGAACGTGGTCTGATATGGGGAAGAAATAACCGTGAGCCGCCATCAGCGTCCCCAGATGAAGAGCCTCCACTGCAACACACACACACATACAGCTGGAGCTCTTGAGATGTTTCAGATGAGATGCTTGTTGTCCTTTGATTGCAGAAGTTGCAATCGTCTCATCTCGTCTCTGTCTGGAGTCATTTCATATTTCAGAGCCATAAATGAACTCTGAGTAAATAATGCAGCTCAGCTCAATAATGCAATGAAACTAAACGGACAGTTCACCCAAAATACAAACGCATTGTTTACATCATTATATACGACTTCACAAAGATGCTCAGCATCTCCTCGTCGTCCACAGAACAACGTCAGAAGGGTTTGAAATCACAGGCTGTGTGAACGATGACAAAATTAAAATGTTTAGATGAATTATTCCTTAACATATGAACACATTCCCTTTCCATCAGACTCTAGATCAGCGCTTCTCAACCTTTTTGACTCCAAGCCCATTTTTGACATTATTCAAAGCCTGAAAGCTCTGGTGTTGCTTTTAATTTTTTTTTATTATTTAAAAGGGTAACTAAAATATAATTTGAATAATTCAATTTCTGTATTTCAAAAGTTTTAAGAGCTGGATTCTGTTATTTTTAACTAATGCATTTACATTTCCAGTTGGAAAAGGATTTTTAAAATATTTTTACTCACAATTTCTACCTGATGAAAGCTTGGCATAACTAGAAAAATGCATATTCGTTATAAAAATGTCAATGGCGTTTTGAGATTTGATTCACTTCCATGACTTTTCCAGGTCTAGGAATCCCTTTTAAAACGAGGCTTTCTAATATATCCCAGTTTTCCAAGACTGTGAGAAGAATCCTGGTTCTTCAAAAGAAAGAGGGTGAAAACATCGTTTTTTAATATATTTTTATTTAATAATTATTACATATAATGAATAAAAAGTATAAATAAAAAATATAAATATTTATAATAAATATTTTAGTTGTTTTAGCTTATTTTAATGCTTATTTGGTCTCATTTGAAATCATTTAAAGCCTCTGGGTGGTTGAGAAGCACTGATCCAGTTTCTTGTATGTTTTTTTCTACTGGAGTCTCTTCTGAAAGTTCAGTGTAATTCAACGCTTTCTTAAAAGATGTGAAGGACCTGTTAGGAGGCGCAGTTGAGCCGTTCCACCGAATCTATTTTCCACAAGGTCACGGAGAGACAGAAAGACAAAATATGTCCTCGGGTCTTGAGAGAGACAGACACAGAAACACCTGCTGCCAGACCAACACACACTGTTCCCATAATGCACTGCAAATGAAGTGCAAACGGAGCCGGATCTGAATCTGACAGACATACAGGTGGACTAAACGCACTGAAAACAAATGCTGAGATTATGTGAAGGCAGATTTACATGCGTCATGTTTCCTCGGCTGACTGTACTGGTCATTCACACTCATCACTGTTAACACAGATAATACAAATATGTTCTAAGAACCAGGGTTATTTTAGTATCACTGAGATACAATTTTTTATTCATATTTTGAATTAGTTATATATATATATATATGACTGCTGTCAAACGATTAATCGCGATTAATCGCATCCAAAATAAACGTTTTTGTTTACATAATATATGTGTGTGTACTGTGTATATTTATTACGTGTATGTAAATACACACACATACAGTTTATATTTTGAAAATATTTACATGTATATACATTTATATTATTATATTTTATATTATATATAAA